CCTGCCCTCTTGGCCCGTGCTGTGCGCAGACCTGGCTGTTGAAATCATGGCCAGCTAGGAGGTGAGCATGCAACCATGTATCTGACTTCTTTATTTTACTCTCTCTCCTATCGCTCTCATTCTCTATGACTTTATTATAATCTTGATATATCTCAACTGTACAATTGCACTTACTGAACCCCTGGCTTCCCCACAAATAGTTAGTCTTGGAAACACCCATGAGGTCACTATGAGTCAGCATTGACTTAATGACAATGAGCTTGCTGAACTGGGTACTTTCAGTACTAAACTGAGAACAGACATATAAAGGCACTTCAAAAAGTTCATGAATAAATGGGATTTTATCACAAGCTTTTTGAAGTGCCCTCAGACTTCCATTATTCCCAATTCTAAGGGGAAACTATTCAATCTTTGATGAATAACTACGACTTTACCTATAAGTTTTTTGGGTAGATTCCCTTTTATTTCCGGTTTGTTAGTTTTTATCACTAACGAGCATCGGATTTTGTCAAATGCTTTTGCTACTGCAATTGAGATTGTGTGGTTTTACTTCTTTGGACTATGGCTGTTAAGTACTGTCAAGTTAGTTCCAACTCACAGCAACCCTATGCAGAACAGACGGGAACACTGCCTGGTCTTTCATCTTACTCATAATTGTTATGTTTGGGGCCATTTTCCAGCCACTACGTCAATCCACCTTGTTAAGGGGTCTTCCTCCGAGGAGCTGATACCAGGGGCTCAAGTAGAAAGCAAATGCTTTGAGACTGATGATGGTAACAAATATCCAAATGTGCTTGACACAATGGATGTATGTATGGATTGGGATAAGAATTGTATGAGCCCCCAATAAAATGGTTTTGAAAGGGGGGGGTCTTCCTCCTTTTTGTTGACCCTCTTACTTTACCAAACAGGATAGTATGTCCTTTTGCAGGAACTGGTCTCTCCTGTAACATGTACAAAATACATGAGATGAAAATCTCACTGTTTTTAATTCTTTTTTTTAATTATTATTTTTTAATCGTTTTCGTAGGGGCTCATACAACTCTTATCACAATCCATACAT